AGCATATATGAATGAAAAATTTAATTCACCGCTTTCTTATAAGAATCAGAAAACTGATACATACAGAATTAAGTATTCAGGAAAAAGGCTTCCTCTTACAAAAGTTAAAGATATTTAGCCGAAAACAAAAGATTGGTTAAATAAACTCTACTCTTCTCGCTCGTGTAAAACCAAGAATAACAGTTTTATGTTCCAAAGACATCAGGACTCTCAACTACAAAAACCACAACGACATCCTTGCACGTCACATCCACCAGAGGGCGCTGACATCAAAACAAGCACTTTAGCAGCTACAGAAGGACAGTGTAGTTGGTCAATTCTCGGCACGGAGGACATTAAACACCAAACACAGCCGAACTGTAATAAATGTTGACTTTTGATCAGAGAATTTCTGAGCGAAGAACAATGAGTCAATTAACACTCGACGCGGAGCAGCACGTAAGACGCATCACCAAACGCGATTTATTTTATTTACAATTAGTGTGTTTGTGGTGTAAGAGTGGCTTAATTTGGAACCTTGGATTGTACTCCAGGGTAGCTACTGGAGGTTGGATAGATGTAAAGTTACTAAATGGCTTGTGCAGAAACCTGGACTCAGAATGCATGACCATACAAAAAGGTACTGGAAAGTTAGTTTAATAGTGTAGACCAAGAAACAAACTGGGTACATGTACGTAACTTTAGACTCTGCAAGGTCAATACAATAACAGACAAAGCTACCTTGCCACGTCAAAAAGCTTATTAAAACCGCTAGATTTACATGATCAGAGTAACTCCTCCACTAGAAACCACAGTCTGCGCACTAGAGATGGTCTTGACATGAGTGTCCCTTCCTGAAAGAAAAAATTAGAAGTGTGAAGAAATTATAAAAACCTCAGTTCCTCTGGTCAAGTTAAGCCAAGAACTCACTCTTCCTGCCGCAGCTTTGCTCACAGGAGCCAGAAGATGGATGGCACACCGCAGTACTACAGTGGATGAAGATCTGACGGAGGAAAGAGGGTCAAGTCATAGAATCTATAAGGAGTAAAATTAAAGGTTCAAGTAAGGGGGGGGAGCATACGGTTTCCTGCAGAGGAGCCAGTGACTCTGGATCCACAAATGTGAACATCTTCACAATAAAGCGCTTGTAGTGGGTTGGGAAGTGAAGACCTGATGATCCAGTCACTGGAACCAATGTGGTCAGGTAACGGTCATCCTGGTAAGGGCATCTGAAAGGGAGGTCTGGAACAAATGTGGTCAGGTAACGGTCATCCTGGTAAGGGCATCTGAAAGGG